GCTTTCTGTAGCAAACATCAACATGTTGTTTTAAGTCCCTGACTGGTTTAAGCAAAGTGAATCCTCAGCTAATAATTTTTTTCAGGCAAGAATTTAGAGATAATCTCACCCCAAAATTAATATTCCAGTGGTTTCTCTAGAATTTTCATATCTAGATACAATAAGCAGGAGATGTCAACTGTCATCAACATCCATTGGAAAGCAACATGGTACCCTAGAAAGGACACAGAATTATAACTCAAAAGTCATGAGTCTAAATCCTAGCCCAACTAATTACCAGATCTGTGTCCAGATTCTTCCTCCAAATCTTAGTTTGCTGATCTGTAAAAAATAAGTAATAATAGTATACCTACCTCACCAAGTAACTGAGACAGTTTTTAAAAATAATAGATATAGTCCTGGTCGTGTGGCTCAGTTGGTAGAGGGTCATCCGTGCACCAAAAGGTAGCTGGTTCGATTCCCATTCAGGGCACATGCCCAGGTTGCAGGCTTGATCCCCAGTAGGGGGCGTGCAGGAGGCAGCAAAGCGATGTTTCTCTCTCACATCAATGTTTTTTTTCCTCTCTCTCCTTTCTTCTCTCTCTCAAGTCAATAAACATATTTTAAAAGAAATAAAATAAATATCGATTTTTAAAAATAAATAATAGGTATAAAACATAAAATGGAAGTCCTCAAAATCAGTATATCTACCTGTATAACTTAGTGTCCAATGAACACCAAGACTGCATTATAGAGAAGGCAAAGGGAGTCCAAGGCATGGTCACTCCTCACAAGAACAGTAAAACCTAGTTGGGAATATTAACATTTAAAATGCAGAGACACCAGTTTGCAGCAACAATAAAAAATCCTGGGTAAAATATTTTTAATCATTCTCTTAAATACATTCATAAGTTGGCAAGAAAGCAAGGATTATGCAGGACAAAAGTTAAATGAAGACAGAAACAGAAAGGTCAACTGAGTTTGCTAAAGCTAATGTTCGGCTTGAAGGTATTGGCCAAACTGGGTAAATCCAATTACTAATGGCCTTGTGGCTTCTGGGAAGAGGAGACAAGGAATACTGACCTACTTGTGGCAAGGAATCTGAAGACCCTAGAAGAGCTGGTACCTCAAAAAGCTACAACCCACTGTGTGAGGGTAAACTAAAAATGAGTTGCCATATTCCAAGGGGACTTTTTAAAGGGGCAGAGGGGAGTGCTGCCTGGAGCCAAAGCATTGAAGAGAGGGAAGAAAAACATCTCCCCTGAGAATTTAAAACCACAATCCAGCCCTCACATGGGTAATTATAACTTAAAACACCACGTGGGTGTTCTAAAAAAACCCTCAAACCTAGAATTTATTATAAAAGCCAAAGAGTATAAGGGGCCCTAAGCAACTGACAGAAGCAAATGCAATCTCCTCTGGAGAAACCCAACTTCATTATCCTGGACTTCAAACATTTCCCAAGATACAGTTCTGAGAGAAATATGCAGTTCACTCCCACTCACTCACATATAAACAACAAACAAGGAATTAAAACACCATGAGCAGAGCAAGCCTATTTTTAAAGGCCCAGACAGAAACTTGTAATAAATATTATTAGTAGAAACAAAAAATTTAGCAGTCAGAATTAACAGCAGATTAGATAATGTAAAAGTGAGTCAGTAAACTGGAAGACAGGTCAGAGGAAGTTACCCAGATCACAGCACAGAGTCAAAGACAGAACATAGGAAAGATTAAGAGATGTGGACAACAGAGTCACAAGACCTAAACAAATGTGAATGGAGTTCCAGGAGTTAAACAAAAGAGGCAATAGCAATATGCTCAACAATTTTTCATCCAACTTCCTAAGATGAGAAAAAGATCATCTAACTATCCAAAAAGCCAAATGAATTCCAAACAGGTTTATTAAAAAGGAATATAGACACTGAAATATCACAATGAAATTTTATAACAAAAAGAATATTTTTAAAGCAGCCAGAAAGACTACCTTCAAAGAAGCAAGAGGGACAAGTGCCTTCAAAAGCAATACTGAAGACAGATTTTTATTTATGCCCAAAATACTGTGAAATAATACCTGCAATGTTCTGAGACAGAACAGAGTTCTATATACAGCAGTATCTTCCATGTATGAAGGTAAATTAAAATCATTTGGAAAAATTAAAAACCTAGAGAGTTTGCCACCTGCTATTAGTAAAAGATATCCTAAAGGTAGTAGAAAAATAATCCTATAAGGAAAAACCGAAATGCAAACACAAATGAAGAACAAAAGTATAACTATCTATACTAATAAAAGGGTAATATGCTAATTAGGGTGGACTTCCAGGTGGACAAAGCCACGGCAGCTGTGAGGCCCAGAGCTCATAGTAGCCGTGGGCTCAGGCATCCGTGGGCTCATGACAGCCATGGGCTCAGGCAGTCACCACAGCCGACAGTGGCAGCAGCAGCAGGGTGATGGGGGCGGTGTCTTCCTCTGATCAGCCTGGTCACCTCCCGCAGAGGGATGCCAGACTGCAGTTTAGGCCCACTCCCCATGGAGAGCGTCAGTAGGTATCCCCTGAGGGCTCCCGGACTGTGAAAGGGGGCAGGCCTGGCTGAGGGTTCTCCCCCACCCGACCCAGTGCACTAATTTTTGTGCACCGGGCCTCTAGTGTCGGTAATGTTAACAAAATACCGATTATATAGGACAACAATGCTCTGTATGGTTACTGGTTTATTTTAAACAGGAAATTAAATACATTATAATGATAGCAGGCAAATTGGGCAGGACTGAAATCATAGTGTTTAAGAACAGAGATATTGATGAACTTTAGATTGTGATAAGATGAATATGCATGTTAAAATTACCAAGATTACCACTAAAAGAAGGGACACACATAACATGAAACTAATAGAGAAAAAAATCCAAAGAAGGCAAGAAAGAAGAAACAAAGACAAGGAAAGGCCAAATAACAAAATAAGATAGAAAAAAATCAAAATATATCAGTACTTATAATTTATTTATGTGAACTAAATTTTCCTGCGATAAAACCAAGATAAGCCAAATAAAAACACAAAAGCCAGCTCTATACTGCTTTTAAGATAAATGTTAAAATATGCCCTCACCGGTTTGGCTCAGTGGATAGAGCATTGGCCTTCGGACTGAAGGGTCCCAGGTTCAATTCCGGTCGAGGGCATGTACCTTGGTTGCAGGCACATTCCCAGTGGGGGGTGTGCAGGAGGCAGCTGATCGATGTTTCTCTCTCATCTATGTTTCTGTCTATCCCTCTCCTTTCCTCTCTATAAAAAAAACCAATAAAATATATTTTTGAAAAAAATGTAATGATATGGGTAGTTGCCATGGGCTAGGGACAATGGTGAGTTATTTTTTAATAGGTAGAGTTTCAGTTTTACAAGATGAAAAGAGTTTTGGAGGTAGATAGTGATAAAGTAGCACAACATTATGAATGTACTTAATACCATTAAACTATACACTTAAAATAGGTAAGATGGTGAATTTTATGTTATGCGTATTTTACCACAATAAAAAAAGTTGGAAAAAATTTAATGATACAAAAAGTTGAAAATAAAAGGACACCTGGAATGGAAGAAGCCTGTATGGGTCTCTAATATCAGATGAAAGAGGCTGCAGAGCAAAAAGGATCATGAGAAGGAAAGATGGTCCCTTCATACTAATAAAAAATTTCATTCACCAGGAAGATATAATAATTCTAAACATTTTAAAATAACCTCAAAATCTATAGAGCAAAAATTGATAAAACCACAATGAGAAATAGCCAAATCCACCATAGTAGATCTTAATATGCCTCTCTCGATAGTCATATATCAAGCAGACATCAGTAAAACTAAAATATCTACAGGTGAAAGACATGATGCTGAGGTTTTTCTTTAAACTACTTCCCTCCCTCCACTACCGCAAAATGTGGGGAGGTGAAAATAGATGAAACAAAACTGGACTTTTTGAAGCTGAGTGATGGACATATGAGAAGGGGTTATATACTCTACTTTTTTTTCTCCTTTTCTATATGCTTAAAGATTTCCTTATCCTTGGTGAATTAAAGACCTATATTTAAAAGGCAAAGTTACAGAAGACCTAGACCAATAAAAGACCAATAAATCTAACTTTGAAATGAAGAATGTCCCATAAAGAGAATAAACAAAAATATAAATATACAGCTGAATAACAAAACGAATAATCAGTATCTAGAATATATAAACAACAATCTACTTATTAAAAAAGATATATAACTTAATGGGTAAGAAGTGGGCAAAGCCATAAATAGAAAATAAATAGAAATAAATAGGAATGATAGAAGAAGCTTATAGGAAAAACATATGTGAAAAGATGTTCAACTGTTCAATAATCAGGAAAATGCAATTAAAACCACAATGAAACAGATACTACCCCATTCACTAAAAAGGCAAAAACTTAGAACAAGAACAATACCGACTGTTGACAAGGATGAGGAGCAAAGGGAATTCTCTTTCTCTGCTGGGGGGGAGAGCTTACTGGTACAACCACTTTGGAAACCAGGCATTACTGTGAAA